TGGTGGTGGTGGTGGTGGTGGTGGTGGTGGTGGTGGTGGTGGTGGTGGTGGTGGTGGTGGGAGTCCAGAATTCTTCACCTTCAAACTGTAATAATACACAATCTCCATTAATGAAAGGAGGGTGGAAAAGGGCACTTCATTCGATTGCCGTAAAAGAAAATTTACAGCCGATTGCGCCTTTGACATTTGGTGTTGACATTTAGCATTTGGAAGTAGTGGAAGAAACGTTATTACATTACACTTACAAGCTCAAGTGTCCCGACCCATGAAGTTGACCAACATTGACATCTGCACCTCAAGACGGAAGGGGACATTGGACAGTAGCGTTGCCCACCTTTTAGGCTAATCTACTAATTTGCAAAGTTGACAAAATTTTAGCTGTGTCCCAACCGAGGGGGCGATCCCTACAACGATCCCACCGGACCTGTGCACATTGTCGCGGGATCAGCGGGCAACAAGGAGAATCAGGATCCATTTCTACCCACTCCACAGCCCTGGTCGGCTTTTCGATCCGACGATTATGGTTATATGAGGATTACTGTAGTAAATGCCACATACATGCACCTGGAACAGGTCTCCGTGAAGCCTTTCCATGGTTATTTGGTAAGTTATGTGAAAGTAAAGTTGCCTTCTCTAAAACGCTAACTTAAAAGGCAATAAACCCACCAACGATTGTGTGAAGAAACAAATAAAATAGGAGCTTTTGTGTCTATCTATAAACTAAAAATAGTGAATCCTTTAAACTTTGTGTGCTTAAGTTTTGCAAAATTATTTAACTCAAGTTCCCCTCCAAGGAGACCGGAAAGGACACACTGTGAAAAGGAGAAGAAGAATTTATTTGTCTAAAGCATGGAGTTTTGGGGATAATATACAAATGGTCTAGCAAATTATACTTGCTTCAATTGTTCTCCCCGTTGCGGCAATTCCACTTTGCACTTCTCAGGCGACCCCTCGCAGGGTCTGACCGGACGCTTGAATCTGATTGGCTGATTTTAAAAGATGGCTATAACCATTTTTAGGCTTAAATGCATACTTTCCCCTCATTTTTTTTATGGAAAAATTATGTCAGAAGCTCTTAAAGCAGTGTATTAATTATACAGGCATGGTGGTTGAACTTTAAAGCGTTCGCGCCGAAAGATGTGTGGCCAAACACAGGTCGTCAAAAGGCTCGGCTAATGTGTGGCGAAATGACTACCATTTGGTGGGTGTATTGGATAGAGTAAAATAAGATTTTTACAAGACAAAAGGCTAAGCATTTGAGGAAGCAAAAAGGTACCGATAAGTAAACAGGGATAAAAATTATGAAAGAGACCACCTCTGCTCCAAAGTGAGCGCCAAAACGGTTAGTCTGCTCGCATAATCAACCCTATCCTCCCTTCCATGATAGCAGGGGCCATTTTTTGTTCTTTTAACTCTTTTGAAGCTTTATTGGTAAGAAAAATGTGGGTGAATGCATAATTAGGGGAATGTTGTCATTGCTATCAAAACATACAAATGAATTGTCCAACTGTCATGATGAAACAAGTTCTTGTAAAGTCATATTCTCAAATTATGATGTTCTTGTGTACCTCTCAGAACGAAGTTTGATTTTCGGAACCACTTTTGCTCTTCAAGAGGGTGGTCAGATAATATTTTGCATATAGTAATTCATAAAGTGTCTGAGGTACTACCTGTCGTCTCAACCATCTTGCCTGTTCAAATTTGAGGAAAAACTCTTCGGCTTTCCCTGCATTTAGCTGAAACAGTTTTTTCAAAAGTGTGAAAGATTCTTTCACTTCTTTGAGTTTCATCAAAAAGCAGAGTGAATTGGATCCATGCATCGGTAGGAAGGAGCCTGGATCCACAATGCAAAATAAACGACGATAAAATGTTTGATTGTCTGCACTTTTGTCGTAGGCGTTGACATTTTGCTGTCGAGAGATCCATGGTTTGGAATAGGTGAAGTAAAAATTGCATTTAAAAATAAATAAATTAAGTTTTCCTTTAGTTCTATGAGGAGCTTACCACCAAATCTCTCGTTCGAAGCGGAGCATGCTACTCACAAAAGGAAATAAGTAGAATAGGACTGCAAAGCAGGCTCCTTCCTGACATTTATGCTAGTAAAGTTGAGTAGAACAATTTACAGCTTAAGTGTATGTAGCAAACGCTGGTACTTGAATAACAATGCGCCTTTTTGATATAATATGGGCAAATATTCGGCCTTTTTTGTTGACACTAACTTGAGTGCCTCCAGACGCTGCTAAGTAGTCAATAATTATGAATCCTTCTTGAGGCTCAAAGAGTAAAGAAAATGCAGGTCATTGACATGACTGATGTTTCGCCTTGGCTCCCAATTCCTACACTTCCACCTAGTTAGCGTCACTCTACTCACAAATTCAAATAAGTAGTATGACACAACACCCTTCTTGTTTATTTGAAAATCCCTTCTCCCTTTCATTTACTGAAAGACTTGTAATCAAAAATTAGTTTAAGGCAAGCTTCAGAGCATTTATACTGCCCAGTGGAATAAAAAAAGAAGCTTTAACCTGTTATCATATTTTAACAGAAGAGTCAAAAGACTCTCCTTTTTTACTGTGAAAAAAAACACTTGTAGTGATAGTATCCAATCTGTGGAGATGGAATTAGAAACCACCTTTTCTTGGTGCGTGTGAATGCAGACCAGGCAAGAAATTAGTGAAATTTGCTAGTCAGACGTAAATCACAATGCTGTAGCAGGCATTCAGCAGCCCAGAAAACCCCATTTTCCGGGTCGCTGTTGGATCAAAACCCATCGACACCGCAAGCATGCCAGATTTGGTAAGGAAGGAGGTGGTCTAACAATTTATCTACACATAGTTTCCATATGTTGCCCTTTTTTGCCAACAGTCAAGGCCAAAATAGCAGCAGCGTTTCCACCTTTTTGATGGATACACCTTTGCCTTGTAGGAGGACGCCACAGTGATTGACGAGTTCGTGATTCGTAAATCGTCATCTCGACCAAACTTCACCTGCCACGA